AATAAAACATTTCTAATTTACGTCTACCTCTGTACTCATGAATGAACATGATTTGTAGATTCTGTTTAATTCACATGATCAAATCTCCAATTAATATTTTAATTAATTAATAATTAATTGACTAATAAAAGATATATTTTACCAGAGCAATACAAGCAGGGAAAAAAATTGACATAAGACTAAAAAATACAGTTCCCCAGATAGCAATTGTACATGATGGGCCGGTGGGAGATGCAAGGGTTGAACCGATTAATTGGGATACACCAACACCAAAGTCTGAGATCATTGTAGCAATAGCAAGTCGAAACGTAACTCTGTTGACTAATCGGGGGTATTTATATCTTATAGAAAAAAACAATGAAATTCCGAATGTAGTTGCAATCAATGATGCTGTGCTTTGAATTAATAAGAGCAGAAGAACCGTCTTCCCTTGTTCCTCAGTTACCGCAAATGTAACAGCTTCTGTGTCATTTGGTATTGGATCCGACATTTTCTATGGCTAATTAATAAGAAAAGAAGAAGAGGAGGGAGGAGGAGGAGGAGGAGGAGGAAAAGACAATGTTATTGATTGTTTATTTAAAATATTGAAAAGTAAAAAAATTTTACTTTATTAGATCAAAAATCCGTTAAATGAAAATGGAGACAAAGTAAAAAACAGGAGGTATTTATCTAACATTTTTATTTGTTTGCTTCGTAACTTTTTAATTTTAGTTCTGTTCCCTTATCATTTTCAGTTGATTGGTTTAAGTTTTGTTTGTGGTGACAATTACTTTCAGGTAATTAATATTATTATGCATTATTATTTTCTTATTTTTTTTTTGATAAAAATATACAAATAAATTTGTCAGTAAATTCCGCTTGCATAAACTATATTTCTTAAAACATTTAATGAAAGAATTACTGTAATACCATCTAAAATTGAAAACATATGTGTAAAATTTTGCTAGATGATATTAGAAATTCAAAACCAGTATCAGGTTCGAAAGCAGGTTACCCTAATGTATTAAAAATCGATTCCCCCGAATCGTGTGCGATTAGAAAAAATTTCCGTTAGATGGCGTGATTGGATAATTGATGCATGTTTTTATTACATTGTCTTGTTTTACCAGGGCTGAGTGCGTGACCCTAATTTAGTTTAGTTTAGTGTTAGTCAAATGTACGCCCTCCCAATGGATTTTTGGACGTCCCGGATATTTTGGAAGGAAATCATTTAATTTTAATGAATGAATCTATTTTTCGATTTCATTCATTGTGTCGCAACTTTTTGTGACCACCCATCTGAATTTTTAATATTAAAAAATTCTCGTTTCAACAGGATTCGCATGATGTTAATATTAATATTAATATGAATGATACTAACTAATACAGGCTTATAATTTCCCAAACTTTAAAAAAAAAAATATCAATACACATTACTTAATTAATTCAGATTTCTATAATCCACCAATAATAAATTATTTATAACTGACCATCATCGTTTTAATTAAAGATTATTCAATCTCTTCTAAATGAATAAATAAAGGTAAATTTTCCTTTATAAAATGAATATTTTCTAATACTACACAATCAATAGTGTCTTTAAATTCTACAAAATTATAAAATGTCTCGACAACTTCTTCCAAAAAACGTGTGTATATTACTGCTGAAGAAAAACGCGAATTAAACCTCAACCAAAGAATATTTATTGAATTCGCACAAGCCAAGTTAGTGATATATTGAAAGAGTTATAATGGATGGCTTGAAATTCTTATTAAAAAAGCAAATACTTCTCCTGTTGCTAATGTTGAAGTCGCTTTGATTTTATGGGCCCAGAAATCCGAAAAATAATCTTGTAAAAAAAAAAACAATAAATATATATATGATCAATATTTGTGTTACAGCTTATCTAGGATAATCACGATTAGCAACTTAACATGCATTCTGATTGGACTACTGATGATCGTAATACTTACTCTATATGATTATAACTAACTGTACAATCAAAAAAGCCCTTTCTTTCTTTGCTAAATATTGTAATGATCGACGATCTCTGGGATTTTCATGCATATTAATATCAGAAACACGCTTCATTAAATAGCTTCCAAATTAGATGTTGAATAGTTACTAAATAACTCTATTATTATTCGTTTAATTAATAAAATAATATGACAACATAGTTTTTTTTTCCACAGATGCAGGCATATAATATAAATAGAAGGTTCTAATGTTATTATTATTATTACTATAATAAAATTAAATAAATTATATTATTATTATAATGGGTGTTTTTTTTTTATTCTTTCGGATATCCATATGTTTGCCAACTATTGTAATTACTATTTTCAATCGTCAAATAATTTTCATATTCTCCAATCTGATATAAAAAATAAAATTTTAAAAAAATCAAAAAGATGCCTTACATACTAAATTAAGTTTGTTGTTCTACTATCGAAAAATTAATTTTATTTCGGATACAAATAATAACCAATAGTAATTTGTCGAACTTTTAAATATTGGTTGAAATATATTTTGTAATTTTGTATTTTCGGCTTTGTCATTGAAAACACGAAGATTAGCGGGATACAATTCTGTGACTCGGAACTCTTAGGTTTAAGTTTAGGATACAGATTTATATTTGGACTGGACTTCTCTTTCGAAACTGTTTAGGACTACAAGCACAATACAGTATTTAAAATGTGAAATTAATATCCGAATGTAATCTCTAATCTAAAGACATATTCCCAATTTTTTACTATAAAAGAAAAAAAAATATAGCTCAAAGAAAATAAATTCACGACGGATTTTAAAGTAACCAACTATTTGTGTACTATCGATTTAAAAAAGTCAAGTAGGTGAGTCTGTTTGTCGTGCAATGTGTATTTATTTGTTGAAGATTACATAAAACAATAAAAATGCATCGTGTTTTGAACAATATTATTTATTATATGTGATAAATCATGCATAAATCAAGTCAATTTGATTATGTAGAACAACTTTTACTTGCCATGCAATTATTAGTATTAGTTATCACATCAATGATGTCACATAAAAATGTGTGTGAATTTTAATTATACAGGTATACTATAATATCGAGCTTGCTTGTGTACGATCGATATTGCATCAAAGTGATAAAAATGATAATCTTTATTTAGCGGGTTTAACGGATGAAATTATTATAATTATTCATAATAATAATAATAATAATAATAATTGTTCTACCTTGATTTGACGGATAATGGAATTTCCATATTATAATAATAATTAATTATTTGAATATCAGAAATCATGGCGTCAAATGATTTTTGTATACTCGAATATTCGAATTTCGAATGTCTTAATATTAATTAATATTATGCTATTAATATTAATACTATCGGACTTTCGAATATAGTAATACCTTAATACTTGAATTGATTATTTTAATTGACGATAAAGAAAAAACAAATTCTAATTTTTCGTCAGAGTCCGTTATCAATGATAGGTTATGTAGGCCACCAAATAATAAAAAAAACACAAAACTTTGACGAAACATGGAAGACTCATATAGAGAAAGCTATATTTGAGATCATTTTATTGAAGAAAGATCTTTCAAATAAAAGTACCTGTTTATCTGTGACGTCTGGATAATTTATGTGGTAAAGGATTAATGTTATCAAACGCTAATAATTCAACAATCCATTTATTAAAATTACACAATATACTTCCAGCCAAGAAACAACAAAAAGCACGTGATTCTTAAATATCTTGGATTATTTTATAAATTAATGTTTATTTCATTTCGACAGTTAGAATCAGAAGGACAATTGATGACGACGATAATGATGACTAAAAAGATACAATATCAAAAAGATCTTGATCCACTAACATAGTGGAAAGAAAACAAGGAAAATTTTCTCTATTAGCAAAAATATCCGCAAAATCCGTTCTTGCATAACGGTTAATCTAGTAACCACATTACACCAAAGCGTAACAAATTAAAACGAAAAGTTATTGCTTTTAAAATATATAAATATATTTGAATAAGATTATCAAATATAATGTTTTAAAATTTATGTATTTAATAAAAAGAATAAAAGAGTATATCAATGCTATAAGCAAAAGTGTCACGATTCCTTACGAATATTACGGATATTTAAAATACCGGTCCCTTTGAACCATGATCCAGCTGTTCTTTTTAATAAGGAAATTTTGAATTATAAAATCTAATAAATAATTAATGTAAATGTTGTACGTGAAAATGAAAATTCGTTTAGCCAATCAGAATTTCTCATGGTAATTTTAATTTCACACACAATTTCTGGTCACAAAAAAAAAAAAAAATAATAAATAATAAATATCGTGACAAATAAAACAAAGTGTTATGTTGGACATGTCCTTTTCGTTTTACATTTGAATCTTTATTATTAATATTATATTTGTATTTTATTTATTTATATTTCATCATTTTTATTACGTATTGTTATTATTTATATTATTAATAATTTAGTTGTCGATTGTATCATAAAGTGTGCATGCAGCTTCGTTAAAGCCTTCTAGGTACAACAGGCAGGATGAATTTGTAAAATAAATTAATTTACACATAAAAATCCTGCAATTAATCAACGAATGTAGCTAAAAAGTTAGCTCGAACTCGACCATAAAATGTAAAATAATCGAAAGTTATATTCGCAATATGTAATTTGTATCAAAACGCTATTAAGTTAGCCTTTAAACAATATTTAACCAGGTCCAAAGATCGCATCTAAAAACCGATCTTTGGGATTGAGACCGGATCAAGACAGCCCTACAAGTATTCGAAAGTATCACGTATATTCGAATAAAGGGTTAGAGATAGAAAAACACTATCTTGAACGGCGTAATTTCACTTTGCTTTAATAATAAATTTTGAATTTATTTTATAAAAATAAAATTTTAATTCGAAATTTTATACTACTAATAAATTTAGAATTTAACACCTGTTAAAATATCTACATAGAAGAAATCTACAACAAAGAAGCAAATGCTTAATAATACTTTTACGAAGGTATTTTAATTTTAATTTATAAGAATCTGTTTGAATTGAATTTGTAATGATGAATGAATACAAAATACTCAAATTAATAAAATATCAGTAGTTCGTTAAATTCTTTTATAATCCAAAACATGTGTTTTTTTGGTTTTCAATGGTCCTTATCTGTTTATTTTTTTTAGAATAGTAGTAATAGAGATAGTGAGTTAACAGCATAGAAAATAAAAGTTAATTAATCGTAAAAAATTTTTATAATGATAATGATAATGAATATTTTTTGAACGACAGGCAGGGAAAAGATGATGTTTTGATTGAAAAGTAATCCAAATAGCAAAATAATACAAGTAATACTAACAAAAATTAAGTATAAATGAATTACAATCTTTTTTATTGTTCCAAGTATCATATTTTCTCTCTTAATATAACATAGCAATTTTTAAGAAATAAAATTACAATCCAACGGAACTCGTTCGTTCATCAGAAATAGTATCTGAAATAAAAAATAAGTGCCTGAAAATTAGAGGGTTGATTACCTATAATGCAGAAAGGAGCTTTAGTAATACACAAATCGAGTCAAAGGTTCTCGGTTTGTCATTCTGACGATGATAATTATAGAATTTGGTCGAGGTATAGGAAAAAATTTTACATGTATCTTACTAGTATTAACGACGAAGTAAGATTAGAAAAAGCTAGAAAGAAATTGGCACAAACTATATGGGATGATCATTATGATAAATATCCACTTTGACCTTCCTTGCCAGCTGTCGAACAAAGTGATGCTATTTATTTGACACAAGCAACATATTTATTATGGTGATATTGCTTGCATAGACATATCAAGGCTCAATCACAGTTGAAGATATACACACTAGCTCAGGATATGAAATAAAACACAAGGGAAGACCAGGTTTGAAAATATTGATAATTGACTCTAATAAAATGAAATTGTTGAAACAATCGGCTTAGAGAGATATGCAAAATTCAAAAAAGGAAAGTTAATTCGGCAAGTAAAAGATTGCATCGGGATTAACGGGTGTTTGTATATAATATTAAATTTATTTATTTCATGTAAAAATTTTTTGTATAAATAACAATTACAACAATAACGACAATTAATTGATGAAAAATATGTTTTAAAATTTAATAATAACAAAAAGGAAAATATTAAAGAAGGCGCGAAAATTTGCACACCATTAAATGCCAAATCAAAAAATACAAATGGTATTTATTGGTGTTTCTATTCGAAATAAGGTTTTATTTATTCATTGAGCATTTGAATAAACGAATAAAACGAATGCTACGGATGACACGAATGGAACGAATAGTACAAATAGTATGAATAATTCGAATTTGAATAAACGAATAAACGAATGGTACGAATGGTACGAATAGTGCGAATAATTCGAATTAGAATAATCGAATAATTAGAATAAACGAATGATACCAATGACACGAATGATACGAATAGTACGAATAATTAGAATTAGAATAATCGAATAATTAGAATAAACTAATAATACGAATGATACGAATAATTCGAATTAGAATAATTGAATAATTATAATAAACGAATGATACGAATGATACGAATAGTACGAATAATTCGGGTTCGAATAAAACGAATAAAACGAAAAACTCGAAGAAATGAATAATAATAATTATGTATTAATGTAATAATTATTGATTCGTAATACAAATTCTTATTCTAATTATTATTTATTTGTTTAACAAAAAATTTATTTAATTACATCATTATTTGTATTACCGTTTACCCCATTATTTTTTGTGGATCAAGTAAGTCGATACTTTTTTAGTGTGTGTATAAAAAAAATTCTCTGCGCATGTCTCGTGGCTGATAAGCTCAAAGTATAATTTTTGATTATGGTCACGTGACTAAGTGATCTTTTTTCAAATAGAAAAGACAACTCTATGCCAAATCTCATTTTTGATAGTAAACTTCAAACCACTAAGGCTTTTTGTTGAATGATAAATAAAGAATATTGGACATATAATATTATTAACCAATGTTCCAAGTAATAATCATACGAAAGCTAGGATCTTCTGAAGCAATAATTCATGACGCGAGGCATAATTCGTGACTTAAAGCATAATTCATGATACAAGACATATAGTTTGTGACGCGAGGCATAGTTTGTCAGTTCTTACTATGGGGAAGTCTCTAATTGCGATCCGGCAAGAATTGTGTATATATTAGTATTTTATTTCATAGTAATAATTTATCAAGTATAATTAGTATAATTGAATGTAAAATTATTGTTAGAAAAAAAATATTATAAATTATTACCTAAATCTAAGATGCTCCTATTTATACATAACTTATTGCCTATTGTCTACCATCTATAATTTTTATTTCCTTCTACGTCTTCTCCACCTTCTGATCGTGCACATATATCTAAGAAAATAGCTTCATTATTTTCATAATATTTAAAAACATTCATTTGAGTTTTCACTTCTTTAAAATCACGTCTATACCACCTATCAACGCTTGTTATACAATTTCTAAATATTTGAACAAATACAGCTTCATGACAAACTAGAACAAAGTTCTTCCATTCTCTTCCACTTTTATTATTTTTGCAATAGTAATAATTCAAAAAACTAGATATGGTTTCTTGTTTAAATTGCCCAACTAAAAATTCAGGAGCTTCTGACGATGATATACTAACGGAGGACTATTATATTCTTTATAATTTTGAGCTTCGTATCTTCGTAAACCATTAATGTTTTATTTATTAAATTCGATTCTACTTTAATATCAAAAAACAAAATCTATTAGATTAAGAGCTACAAATATTAAAAAGTTGTCTAGATATTTAATATACTTACTTGGATTTGACTTGGTTCATATATATTTACGTTTGTTTATAGATCAGTTATTTGACTAGTTAAATAAAAATGCATAAAATTCAAAAATATGGAGCCCTTTTTTAGTAACAATTAGGTTTTTTTTACCTTAGTTAATATCAAAATAAAAAAGCATTCCATATTTTTATTTAATGATAATTCAATAACGTGTATCTTTAATTTGAAGCTTATAAATTGTTTCCTTCGACAGACATTTCCCGACACCAACAAGACGTTTCCCCGACAACTCGTTTTCTAATACATTCTATCAATATTTCTTTGTTTTCCTGCCATGACCATAAAATCAACAAACCAGTCTCAATTTGATACAAATTATTTTATTATGTACAGGGTAATGTTTTTTTCAAAATAAGTGTGAATGACCGTTATTATCTTTTTAAAACATCGATGATCATTCCTGATTAAAAAAAAAAAAATGATAAAAAAAAGATTATTTAACATTTTTCAGAAACCAAACTTATTTCCAAAATCCATTAAATCCATTTACAGTTATAGTAATAAAAGATTTTATCACTTGTCAAATAATGAAGAAATCGATAAAAATAAATTTGAAAATATTTATGATATTGTTATTGTTGGAGGTGGAATAGTTGGTAATGCCTTAGCTTGTGCTTTAGGTATGTGTAAAATGTTACGTGTATTTATATTTTAAGATTAATTACTCTAAACATATAAACAAATTTGTGTTGTAGCAACTAAATCACATAGAATTGCGCATATTGAATCTAATGAATTATCATCATCCGTTATAAAATCATGGAATGCACAAGATAATTTGTTTTCAAATCGTGTCAGTTCCTTAACACCAAAATCTGTCAAGTTTTTTAAAGGTAAATTTTTGGATTCAATAAAATCATATATATATATATATATATATAATATAAATGCAAATAAAATGAAATTATTCAATTATTGCATGTTATTTCATTGTTATTATTTCCGTAGATATTGGTGTATGGGATCATGTTGATAAGAAGAGGATCAAAGGATTTAAAGAAATGCAAGTATGGGATGGTATTTCTGGTGCAAGAATTAAATTTGATTCTAATAAAAGGGATGGAATTAGAAGTATTATTGATAGTTTCATTAGTAGTGGAAGTGGGAGCAAAGCATCTTATGATAATATTAATGATGATGATGATGATGGAATTATGGCATGGATTGTAGAAAATTATAACATACAAAATGCTATACTCACTAGACTTGATCAATGCAAATCAGGCAATTTCAAATTATTTGAAAAAACTAAAGTAGAAGATATTTATTTTGATAATGATAAAGATAATAACGAATACGCTCCCTATGATTTACATGATTGGCCAAATATTAAATTAAATGATGGTAAAATATTGAAGGCTAGATTATTGGTAAATAAATATTCTTTCTCACGCCCATTCTTACGTTTAAAATGTTTGTATTGATGATTATTTAAAAATACAATAAATAATAAATAATAATCTTCCCTCTTCCCAAAAAAATTAGGTTGGAGCTGATGGAATAAATTCTATTGTACGCTCTTTTGCTAATATAGAATCAATAGGATGGGATTATAATTCAAACGCTGTTGTTGCTACTTTACATATAGATTCTCAAGTGGACAATTCTACTGCATGGCAAAGATTTCTACCTACAGGACCAATCGCAATGTTACCAGTAATGAGTAATTTTTAATATTAATTATTTCATTGATCATTTATTCCATCTTTCTTTCTTATATATAACATTAACAATGTTATTATTATTATTATTATTATTATTATTATTATTAATTGAATTACTAAAAGATTAAAAAAGGATTTTCTTCTATGGTTTGGTCAACAACACCATCACTTGCAAGTAAATTTTGTTCATTGCCATCTAGTGATTTGGTACATTTGATAAATTCGGCATTTCGATTACGAGTTGCAGATTTAGATTATTTTTATTCACAAATTAAAAAGGATGATGATGTAAAAATGGACTATGCAAGTGAGTTCTCATGGAGACTTGGCGTTGAACGGGATTCAATAAGTACTACTGATGGATGGCCACCTATGGTTATAGATATCCAAGAAAAAAGTTGCGCAAGATTTCCATTAAGAATGAGAAATTCCGAAAATTATGTTAAAGAAAGAATTGTGCTTATTGGGTAGATAGAGTAAATTTAACGGGATTTTTTCCCACACCCCAAAAGAAACTTTTATATTAATATACATTTGTATATATGTAAATATTAGTGATGCAGCACATACAATACATCCACTTGCTGGACAAGGATTAAATCAAGGATTAGCGGATGTTGAAAGTTTGTTTAGAGTGATTAAACAAGGAGTAATGAGCGGTCAGGATATAGGTATTAGAAATAAAATTTTCTTTTTATTCTCCAAGAAATAAACCAATAATTAAATACATTTATTATATAGGAAGTCTTCAATTACTCCAAGATTATTCATCAGAAAGATATCTATCAAATCTTTTGATGATTGGTGCAGTTGATAAATTGCACAAATTATTTAGTACAGATTTTACACCTATAGTATGGGCAAGATCAATAGGTTTAGAATCTTTAAATGGATTAGAACATTTAAAGGTTTGTTTAATTTTAATAATAGCTTTTTTTAGAAATATATTTTTTGAATAATAATTAAACAATTATTATTATTTTAGGCAGAAATAATGAAATTTGCCATGGGCGTGGAATAATTATTTTTAAATTTAATTCCAAAAATAATAAAGCAATAAATTTTATTACATTATGATGTGTTATTATTACTCAAAACAAATTCTTTTAATCTATCTGAAACAACGCTTTCTATTGAGGTTGTTGAAATTGAAGGCGGAGCAATGGTAGAAGTAGGAGTATTTGATTTATCGGTAGATTTATTAGTAGACTGTTTTGTAGATTTTAATATATCATCAAGGTCTTGATGTTTATCAGACAAGACATTATCAAACGATACTACTGCTACTACATTGGTATAGGCTTTTGGTTGATGTAAAGAAACCCTTTTTGTCTCAAATTGAAATGGTTTAAGATGATTATTGGGTTGCTGTAAGAGTTTTTGTTGTTTTATAAATAATTTATGAAGTGTTGGCCACCTTTGACTGATTGATTGATTATTATTCTCGGAATTGTTGGTGTTAGTGTTTGCGCCACTAATACCAATATTGGTATTATTTGATGATGACGATGATGATGATGATAAAGATAAAGATGATAATTGATCATTTGCTGATAGCAATGCGTCAAATTTATTTAAAGTAGAAAATAGATCAAATATTAATTTATGAGATCTCTCCACTTGTTTTGTAATTCCATTAACTTTTTTTATAGATTGGAGAGAAAAAGAAATATTTTATATTATTAATTAAATATTATTTTTTTTTTTAAAAAATTATTATTATTTTGATAACAATTTTCACTTGCCAACGTTAATTTGTTCTTGATTTATCTTTGTTTGTAATTGAGCATTTAACATTGATTGACTAATTCTTGCACAATATTCATCCACGTGCTTAACTGTATCCATTATAATTCTCTAAATAATATACAATAAATATTAATGATATATATATTAATGTTAATAATATTAATATTTGATAGTGAATATTAGAATTACTTGATCTTCGCATATTTCTTCAACGCATCTTCTTATGTGTGTTTGATAATTGTTGAAAAAATTGTATAAAGAATCATAATTAAAAGATGCTAAATACATCAATCAGATTATTATTATTACTATAACGTAAATATAACTAATATAACAGCTATAAACATATAACATACGATCTTTTTCATTTTTATTCATTGAATGATTAGAAGAGTTCCAAAATCCAATTAATGAAAAACCTGAATCATTGACATTTGGTTTAACCAATGGTTCAAACTATTAAATTTGGAAAGAAATACAATTAATAATTTGAGAAAAAATCAAAAAAAAAACTCTAAATCATTTCCTCCTTTTGTGTGTTTTCACCTTTGGAATTTTATCAAGTTTACTAAGTTCCGGCTCTAAGGAATTTTGTTTTGTTGATTCATCTTCATTAACAGTGATTATACCCTATTTATAAATTATAATTATAAATTAATTAAATAACAATAAAAGTTAATCAATTGAATAGTTGAATAGTAATGATAATAATTATACTTTTTCAATATCTTTTTTTATTAACTCAGAATTTAGTCTTGATTCTTCTTCCTCCCCCTCTTCTTTCTTATTGTGTAGTGGTAATGTTGTGGTTGGTGTTATATTTTCATTTTCTTTATTCATTTCTTTCAAATTGATGTAACCTAATTTTGTGCAGATTTATTTGTATGCTACATAAATCGATATTTTTACGTATTTTACAATAAATTTTCAGACGCGTCCATTCTTGATAAAGCAGACGACGAATGATGCATGAATTAATTTCAATTTTCAAACAATTAGAAATTACTTTAACAAACAAAAATTCAATTTAAAACGAATTTTGTCTTTAGGATTAGGGGATATTTAAAATTTAGAAGGTTTCATTTGCTCTTTATTCTTTACTGGGCCAAGAATGCAAATAATTTATTTGAGAAAATAGTTCTTTAGAGCAAACTAATGGGGTGGATTCAGTATTGAGGGTGGTTTGTCGTTTTTCCAATTCATTCTCATATTCATATTATATATATACTACTATTTGGTTAGATGTGCGGGATTTTTTTTAGGATAGAATTAAACGAGTGGTGTGTACATTGAGAGTTTTCTAATTAGTGTAGGAATAATTTTATATATATATACATATGTAAACTCGATAAGTCGGTCATGTGGGGGTGAGCTCATATGACCGACTAATCGAGTTTACATATGTATAAGGTTCAATCTGGGAAAGTAGTTTATTATTTACATCAAATAGAATTTTGATTTAATGGTTTATTTTGCATTAAACAACACAAAGGTTAACATTTGTCTTGTCTAGACGAGTTCTTTTTTTCCTTATTATCATCCAACGTTAGATAACACGATCAAAAAAACAAAGAAAAATCAATTTTATTAGTTAGTTAAGTATTCATCACTCGTTATTATAACACATGTTTACAACCAACGCTACCACGAATACATTATAACATTTAACTTGTAAACATACATCAATCAATATATACCACTGTTACGCATATATACACATTTTTTCACAACTGATCTAAAAGGAAACGATTAAGGATTTTGTATGTGTTTATTTGTAAAATATCTAATGATGTATGACGAAACTTTCAACTTTAGTCGTTGATCTAACTAAATTATTGACTAAAGGTATTTTTTCACCAGGACCATTTTGACTATTTGACTAAAGTAAAAGCCCTTGACGTAATTAAAAATACTTGGTACAAGCGGCAATAATGTTAATGATAAAATAGAATTATCAAAAGTTTAAAAATGTGTGTTCCAGGGATGAATAAAGAATTATTATATTATTGTATGTATACTGCAATGATGCAAGAAAAATAATTATCATGGAAGAATTAAGCTATTTGTTTTTCCGTATATTTATAAAAATGCCTCTTCTTTTTTACGAATTATAACTATTATTTTATTATTACATTTCATATAATCAAATCGTTTTTCATACATATGGGGTTGTGTTAAATTGATTTTTTTTTTTTGAATTGACTACATGTAATAGTAATACGCAATAGTATTAATAATGTGCTATAACGTCCCAGTTTGAAGCAACATAGGTTGATTAATATTGGTACTTATAATGACCTTTACATAACACATAAGACAGGTTTTGGTACATATTTTTATAAGTTTTAATTTTGTTTTCTAGTTTTTTATTACTAAAATTCTTTTATTGTTGAATCACGATAAATCGGTCATTAGAGTTTGGTGATGATAAAGTTGTTCTTTAAATAATGCAATTTTTGCTTTTCAATTTACATCATTATCAATTAGAGAAAAACTTAAGGCAATAAAATAAACCATAGAAAAAAAAAATTGTTTGTTATATGGGGGCGCTCTAGGAAAACCGGGTTTCGATATTTTTGGTCAAAAAAATTTTTTTGCATAATATTAAACTATAACATCATGGTTTACAAAAATAAATTCTTGGGGATAACCAAAATTTAAAAAGCAATGATCTACATACTGCACGATTCATAATTAATTTAATAAATTTAATAGTCACGGAGACCCCATAGAGTGTTATTAATTCATAATTTTTATTACGGTTGTCATTAGTATTAATTTACCATTTTGAGTATCTAATAAAGTATTTGATTGTTTAAAAATTATTATGTAAAGTTAATTAAAGTATATCTCTAAATTTTGGGTCTACATGCTGATGAATTTTGTTATACCAATAAAATTTTCTATCTTTTGTTAATGGAGCAACACCAAGTAGGGTTAATTGATCAAAATCATCATTTTTTAAAAGTTTAAAAGAAGTTTCTGTGCCACCTGATTTTTTGGAAACATAAACTTTTCCAATATCATTTGGTAAACTACTGAAATGAAATGATAATATTTTGTTATATTTGGAAGACTTCGGAAATGCCCTTCAAATAACAATGTAAAATCATACCAGCTCCAATTCAAGCCATTGCTATATCTAACAGGCTTATTACATTCTGCTGAATCATTTATCACCTTTCCAACATCATCAACTATATTTATAATTCTATTTTTGTATTTACTCTTAATATATCCAAAATTTGGATCATCACAGATGAATTTTGTATGCCCAGGAATCATAAAATTAATGTAAATAAATCATCAATTAAATTTTTAAAGATGAATACATACCTCGTACATTAATATTGTACGGAAATCGTAAAATGTGTAACAAATTTAATTGTTTACACAAAAAAAATAATTTTTAATATATTAATATTACTCGAAACCTGGTTCTCCTAGAGCGCACCCCATATATCATTCAGTTCTCTGCAAAGAAAAACAAAATTTTTAAACGAAAACGTAACAGTGTTTTTCGTGAAATATAGATTAATATTATTATAGTACGATGATATTTTTTGATGTCATAATATTATGGCTCAATCACTTACATATATATTCGTTCAGAGCATCAAAATTAGACATCCTATTATTTATTCATGATCAATGAAATAAAAATAGACTATCTCATGGCCGAACGGTGCATTGATCGAGTAGTCGAATAAATTACAACAAAAAAATATAAATAGACCCATTATCCCCCACTTGTGGACCAAAAAAACAGTGCATTGGTTTTGCTTTTTACGTTGCATTCGAATTCGAGAGTTGAGACACGTAGTGCCAAAATGACGTTCTATGTACTATTTGGCTTTACATGGTACATTCTATCTATATATTTGTTCGAGGTATCAACATTCGCGTTGAGAAAAATTTATTAAAAAAAATCACACATACAAAGGAAAATTTAATAATTTAACAAAAGATCCTTTACAAAGAAGAACCCTCATGTGAATCAAAGTTATTTATGAACTTCAATTGTTAAAAAAAAAAAATCTTTTGTCTTGATCTTCTTTTCCTCGTGTTTATTTGTTAAACTGAATAAAACAACATCAGGTTATCGTGTATACACGGTTATCAAAGCATTGTCTTAACGAGCTCTGACTGTACGTTTTATTCGTTTAATTCGTTTATTCGTTTAATTCGTTTTATTCGTTTTGTTCGTTTTATTCGTTTTATTCGTTTATTTGTTTATTCGTTTTATTCGCTTTTATTCGAATTATTACTATTCATTTTATTCGAGACATTTTTTACTCAAATTGTTTGTTTATTCAAGTAAACCTTATTTGAATAGAAAGCTAACAACTGCTCAAGATTATGATATTATTTTAACACAAAAAGCTTAACCAATAATTTAATTACAATATAAAAAAGTTATTGGTTTATTAAACTAGGCCAATAATTAACTAAAAAAAAAATTAATTTTAAAAGGATATCTAATAAATATTGGCACTTTCAACATTTACTAGTAGGCTTTTAGACTATATGATAAAATACTAAGAATATTATTAACTTATCAGTATGCTAATACCAAAATTATTTTTTTAAAGAATAATCAGATTACGATATTTGCTGAATACCTCATTATCCAATTTGGCATCATTTAACCAGTAAAAAAAGAGAACCAATAGATTATATATAAGCAAAAAAATATGGGACCCTAAATTAGCACAAAAGAATTTTAAATCATGCACAAACATAACAGCTTAATAATTTGATTGACACAGTGGTGCAATCTTGCAATTTTTTTATTGTATATTTTAAATATAATTAATCATGTGTCTTTAACAAAATAAACATGACTTAGCTATTTGATCATTTCCTTGTATGTGAATGCCTCCATCCATCAAATATTCATGATAGTCATGATTATTATTCAATACATTAGATATCATCATTGACATAACAAACAATTGCATCACCCAAGTAGTAATAATACCAAGGCCATGCAAAAATGAAACTTTTAATAATGCGTGTCTACCCAGGTCTCTGGGATTCACATTAATAAATTATTATCAATTGTAGTTCTTTATGAATAATAAATCTGATATTGATCACAGGTGTCAGATTTAATTAAGTTTCCTATCACAAACATTGGTTGAGTGCTTTCGCACACCTCATAACTATGGATTTTTTTCCACAGGTAAAGCCCCCAATGCTGGAAGGCTTTGGACAAAATTTCCCTTATCTCCCACTCAGACCAGGTTTAGCTGTTACCATATGGAGCATTGAGAGTTGACATTTGTGTGAGAATAAAGTTGGTGTTAAAACTGGTTTGAAAATTCTGCAACTCGGAAGTTGCAACCCGGGTTGTTGTTTTTACCCTAGAGGCAGGATTGTTGCAGGCAGGAAATTTTTTGTCTAACACGTCGGCAGCCTTCTCTGGTCTGGGTGAGGTTAGTGAAAATATCTTGACAATGATGCAGTTTTGATAAACTCCAGAGCCACGCCCTCCCCCTGAAAATTTAACAACATCAATGTATCATCCGGAGCACACCAGTCAGTTTAGCCTTATGTACACGAGGAAGATGTGAGAATGACTGTAAAGTGTTCAAGGTAGCATGCATGCTCAACACCTGCCAATGTCCAATACTCAAACGTCACATATTGAAATGTTTCTTTTCAACAGTGTGTTGCCTTGACATCTTGTAGTTAAATTATAGTAATATTAATATTATTAACGATTACAAAATGCGAAATACCAATTATTCGTTGTTGATAAAGATTTTATAGATTCCAATTAAAATATTTATAAAAATATCAATACAAATAAAAAATAGTACCTCTGGTTAGTTATTAACACTTCTTCAGAACCAAATAACAACACTTGTGTGTTTTGGCATCTAAATTGGTTTTCCAAGGAAAAAAAATCTATCGCGTCAACAAAAAAAAAATCTGTGCAACACCAAGTGCCAATAAATAAATTTCTTCAATATTAAAAATTTAATAAAAAAAAAAATGTCTGCTGCCGTAAGCAAGAAAAAAAGAAAATAAAAAGAAAATTCCTGGGAAGATGTCACCAGATAAGTGTTTATCGTAAGGATGGTGGTGGCTATCGCCACTCGTCGTCACTCTAGTTTAATTGTAATATTATATTATGCATTTTTGTATAAAAAGATAAGCTTTCCGTAATTAATAAAGAACTTGTATGACTTGTATTTTTTTAATAATTAAAACAATTATATAGTATTTTGACATAAGGAAAAAGGGTTTCCTTACAAGTTGGTAGCAGCGGAAATTATATATACACACATACACCCACCCACACATACTTTTACACACACATACTTTTACACACACATACTTTTACACACACATACTTTTACACACATATTTTTACACACATACCTCTAACAATTCTGTATGAGTAACTTTTATAATATATTAGGGAAAACAACACTGACAGTGACTCTGACAAAGAAAACTCTCAAGAAAACTCTACTATTTCTACATCACAACCAGGAAGAGAATTAGATGAATATGACATTTTATATCAACAAAGAAGAAGGGTCTAACAATCAACTACACAATTAACAACGCCAATCATAGGATCAAACAACAAATTTACTAACCAACCTATTACAAATAACCTAGAACAACAATGGATGCCACTCAATTCAACCAATTAATAGCAGCATTAGGATAACTCACTCAACAACTTGGTAATCAACAAGGCGGAAATGCACCACCTAGGATTGCAGTACAAATTCCAATTTTTAAAGGAGAAACCAAAGAGAATGCAGCTACATGGTTAATGCAAGCTGAAACAATTTTTGCTGCTCAAGGAATTAATGATGTTGCAATTTGTTGCTACTATGCTAGTACTGGAATGAAAGAAGCTGCATTACATTGGTACCTAGCTCGAATGACAGAACATGGAAAT